TTAATTTGATGTTACAATGAACATCAAACCATTTAAAATCACCCTTTTCTCCGATAACACCGCAATCTTCTTTACTCGAACCAAAGGGCCCGCCGTTGTCCGGCTGTCCCAAAGCCCAGGCAGAGAAACTGTCAGATACAGGAGTGTTGTCCGCATACATCCAAATGCCTTCAATATCTTTATCTGTTAATCCAAACCAATATTTCATATTTTTATCATTTCTTATAGTAGACTGAATTTGAAGTAAATTTCTAATGAATTGTGCATAAAATGCATTTTCATCCAAACTGTGTGGTTGTGGTAGAGCTCGATTGAGTCGATTGCAAAATCTCGTGGCCTCATCCCAAGTCATGGCTGTGTCCACATAATATGCTTTGGATTTTCACAAAATTAGTTTTATTCAAACTTAATATTTGTACAAAAAGTGATGTAAATTACGTTTGCGTGGATAACAACGCCCCGAACATTTGCCAAACTGTCGACAATATTCATCTTTTAAATGCTTTCTCTGTTTGCAATTTTAGTTAATATTATATAAATTGTTATATAAAATAATAAATAGAAGGGTACCTCAAATTCTGGAGCATCCATCAAATCATAATAAGCAAAGCCATGTTTTTCTGTTAATTCCAACGTCTCGTTAGCACAGATGGAGTCAGAGAGTAGAGTACATTCTCCTCCTGAGCCCCAATTCAATGATTTACAGCCAGACGTGTGTTTCAAACAAGTAATAACACAATGAGAAACAGTGGACACATTGTAATACGTGACCAATTGTGGCACCCCTTCCAACATTCGGTTTGTCCTAAACAAAGAGGACGCATATTGACTCTCCATTTTGAACATCTCTTTGCGCTGTCCTTCAGCTAACAATACCATTAAAAGACTTATAATTAAAAATATCATTATTAGATCCAAATAATTTCAACTCGATTACAAAATATTAAGTATAATGTTTCACTTATTTGTATTGTCTATTGTCTTTACAGTTTATATCAATAAATGATAGAAAATTCATTTAAATGTTTGGATCTGTGTGTATATTATTAAAAGAATGAGTGTATTGTATGTAATTATAATTATTCTATAGCTATTCAGGAATATTAATCATTTTGATAAAACATGAAAACTGTTTTTGTTTATTAAATATAATTGCATTTAATCTAAGATTCCAACATAATAAAATAATAAAAGTTTATTATTAGTAGATTTATACATAAATTAGATTTTTGCATGTATAAAACAATGGATATAATGGTACTGTATTAATATTTTGTTATAATGGGTGATAAATATTGTACTAATACTTTATATTCTGTATATAATTATAATTAAATATAATTTATTATACCAAATCACCTAAAGTAATAAAATATGATGTAAAAATAGTGTGATTGTTAAAATCAATAATTAAATGTTGAGATGTGTGTTGAGAGTGCAGCACAAAAATTACAAATAAATTGATTTGATGTAAGCTCTGAACGCATGCCATAACAACGAATGTAAAGTGTTTCTCCTTTTACAACACGTACCGATCCATCGGTTTCTAATGTAATGTTATATTGTTTTCTTCGAAGCAATCGTCAAAACCATATTTATATTTTGAAAAACAGATTATATTTAACACGTTTTGTTACTTTTTCATGATTAAAATCTGTTTTACAGTAAATTAAACGTTGTTTCACTTGTTTTCTAATTTTACATTTAAAATACTTGACATTTAAAATATTTGTTTATTAAATTTATATTAATTCTAGTGAATAATTTGAGTCTTTAAATGTCAAGCTTAGTATTTTATATAAATATTAAATTGCATAATAAGATTTAATTTAGGCAAATAAATAAATTAATCAACTAATGTCTTAATGACAATTATTTAGTCACTATATATTATTAATTATTAATTAAATATTAATCAATATAAATTGAATGAATAGAATTGATGTAAATAAGTAAATTGTAATTGCGACCAATGCATAAATGGTTGGCACCTTCTTCTATACACTTCCTTCAAATGGATCGGCAATTATTTGTGGAGACGGACGACAGTGTTGTGGTAGAGTTGAGCCACAAATTATCTGCCGATCAATTGTCAGCAAAAGTACCTAAAATGCAAGTCTCGGAAAAAGACGGACAAATGTTTGCTCTAAACAACAGTTCATTACAATTAATGCTTGAAATGGAAAAACAAGGAAAACTTGGCGATGGACTGATTGAGGTAGAAGTCGTTCCCTTAAGCAAAGTGCCCACTAATATCCAAATGGGAATGACTGCCAACAAACACATCGATTTTATCAATACTCTTCATTTAGACAACAACTGTGTGCACCCTATTCGAGACAACCACAACTTTGAACCAGGTAATATTGTTTGTTACCTAAATCTATTGTTTTTCAATAACTTCTTGCAATTGTGTGTCAGAACTAATAAATTTGATGCCTTTCATCAAATTCTTTTGATTAATATATCATATGATTTACTCATTCACAAAAAACTATCATTTTTAAAAGAATCGTCAAAACCAGTGCCAAAGAAGAAAGGATATTACAAACTAGGGTTGGAATTAGTAAAGACGGCGCCCATTAAGCCGGACACTGGCGCACAAACTGTGACCACAAGTGACGCATCAATGGTGCGATCGCCGCATACGAGTGATGAGGACTCTGACCACGACTTGGAAGACGTGGACGAAGAAG